GATGGGATGGGTGACACTACTATTTGGACTACAAATCCTATAATTTTGTGTCTGGTTGCATAAGACCTCTTTAGTCAGATGGAATGGGTGAATTTTGTTGGGCTGTTCTACTTGGAAGTCGCAATTCCAGAATGTTTTGTGCAGTATCAAATTTATGTCTAGAACAGGTCTCACATCTCCTGTCTACAATTTTGGATAATGCTCTGCTAGATCAAATCCCAAAATATTTTGACAAGAGAGATCAATCAGTATTGGGAGATTTCAACTGTCCTGATATCTGGTGGAATTGCAACACTGACAAGAATGTAAGATCCAGAAAATTACTATTTTGCCTTGCTGACAATCTCAACTACCAGAAGATGGAATGAGTGAGAAGGGGGTCAATTACACTGGTCTACAGCCAAAATGCTTCCGAAAGAAATGTGGTCAAATGTTACTAATTCTGGGCCACTGAGAATAAAAATGCTTACAATTGTTGATTGGCTCTAGTTTTCAAGATGTGCTATTGGGTCGGTATATACAACTCTTGACTTGGGAATTACAGAGGATGTGTGTTACAAGGGGGGAAGATCTCAATTTAAACCAGAAATGACTAAAATAATGACAGTACTTGCTTTTTAGAAAGAACAGTTTTAGCCTGCAACAATATTGATGGTGTGATGGCAGCCCTCAAAATTGTTCATGATCCAGATAAGTGGAGATTGTTCACTGATTCATAGAAGAAGGGTTTTGCTGTATATTGCCATCAGTTCCAGTTGGTCATGAAGTCCATATGAAGGAAACAAGTGAAACAACTTTTGAGGTGCATAAACTATGGCCAACATCAGTGGCAGCTTTGTGGCAATGTGAATGTGGTTGCTGTCTTGCTTGGTATGCAGACAATACAAAGTACTGCTGTTTTGTCTGTGAATGGGATGTTGTGCAAGATAGATTGGCCACTGTGACAGATATTGGAGCCTGGGAGGAAAAGTGTTGAGCATCCACCACTTGTTGAACCAAGGAAGCTTTTGTTACCAGTCATCAAGCTGGGTCTGATGAAGAACTTTGTCAAGGCCATGGACAAAACACAAGCAGCTCTCAAGTATTTCCATGGAAAATTTCCAAGCTTAAGTGAAACTCACGTAAAGAAAGGTGTCTTTGTTGGTCCTCATATTCATGAACTTCTTCAAGATAATGCATTTGACCATGCATTGTGTGGCAAAGAAAAGGAAAAGATGGCATGGAAAGCGGCAATACGTTTTCTTGGAAAAAAGGCAGATAACTACATGTTGGTGGTGGAAAACCTCCTCAAGGCATACAAAAGTCCTGATTGCAACATGTTACTAAAGATACATGCTTTGCATTCTCATCTAGATTTTTTCCCAACAAACTGCAGAGCAGTGAGTGACGAGCACAGTGAGCAATTTCACCAGGACATTGCAACAATGGAGAAATGCTATCTGGGCAAATGGAGCCCAACCATAAATGCTTGCAGACTATTGCTGGACAGTGACAAGAGATGTTCCATTTAATGAATACAGGAGACAAGCCAAGAAGCTCCAAGTACTGACTGAATAGAACTAAACTATGTGCATAATAGTTTTTTGCTTTTTGTTTCAAAATACATTTTATTTCTATAATCCTTTTGCCGATTTTAAAAGTGTTACATAAACAGGGCAGGTACAATATTATCATGTAACACAACCATAAACACATGAAAAGGCCTAGGTTTACGATTAATTATAAAAGCTCTACCATCTGTACGATATACATAGATGTAAAATGTAAAACTTAAATATCTTGGAAACAGTAGCTAATCAGTTGTTTTAATTGTCATATTTTAATTCAGCATATCTAAATACATCATAAATTGCACATGTTATCTCTGAAGCAGACAACTTCTAAAAGATTTTAGACCACTCTTACCCTTGATGGGGTCCCAACAAAAACAGAAGGTCTCCTCAATAAAGTGGAAATTGTGGGCAGCCACAGCCATTTAAATACATCATAAATAGCACATGTTATCCCTGAAGCAGACAACTTCTAAAAGATTGTAGGCCACTCTTACCCTTGATGGGTTCCCAACAAAAATAGAAGGTCTCCTCAATAAAGTGGAAATTGTGGGTGGCCACAGCCATTCCTCTTGGGGTTTGTTCTGTTCTAATGAAGAAGGGAAAGAAGCAGATAGTAGGGTGTTCCCCCTAAACTTCAAGCAAGCTGTTTTTAATAGGTTTTTGATAGGTTCAAGGAAGTATTTGGAAGTCAATTTTAATAAACTTAGAACAATGATAAGTAAAATCCTGTGACAGGTGATTGTAATAAGAAAAGGAGTCCAAAATGGGTGAAAGTTTCTGGATGCTTTGAGGGAGAGTAGCCATTCCTTTTCAGCCACCTGAGGAAGCTGAGCTTCCACGCCCATCTGTAAGGCCCCTGGAGGAGGAATGGTGGTGGCTGCTGTACTCAGGGGCTTCCTCCCCTTATTTTATTATGAAAGTTTCTGGATGCTTTGAGGGAGAGCAGCCATTCCTTTTCAGCCACCTGAGGAACCTGTGCTTCCACGCCCATCTGTAAGGCCACTGGAGGAGGAATGGTGGTGGCTGCTATACTCAGGGGCTTCCTCCCCTTATTTTATTTATTTATTAGATTTATATACCACCCATCTAGAATGTGTCTACCCTTAAGAGACCCCACTGCCTTCATTTCCATACTTTATATGTATCCTGCTGCCTCCTAAGCAACACTTTAGAAATAAAGGGGAGGGGAAGGAAAAATTATGTGGGCTAATATAGGAGAAAGAGGGTGTGATAATATTTTAAAGGAGAATAAGGATGTTGAAGATTTCTTAAAAATTCTTAATTTTTTAAAAAGAGAAACGGGGGGGGGCAGGAAAACTATCTAAAATATCCCTAAATAACTAAATAGACACCCAGTCCCTACCACATGCACACACTAACACACTGTAATTAAAGTGGGGAAGGGTAAAATGTACACACACAGACACACAGAGAGGACACCCATCCTGCCCAAATGCATGCCTCAAAAAAACCTACAATTAAAATGCATCTGACTTTTTTAAAAAAAAGCCCTCACCAGTGTCCCAGTAATGCAAATAATAATGAAATAAAAGTTTGAATTGAAAATTATATATGCTTTTAGCACATTAAAACGGCTAGGGCAAACAATCACTCAGAGAAAGCTCTCAACAGAAGTGGAAAATGGCTGCAAGGAAATTGCTATGTAAAGCCTCTTAGCCAGTGGTGGGATTCAAATAAATTCTATGTAAAGCCTCTTAGCAAGGAACTCCCCAACAGCCCTTTCATCATTATGTTTAGCTGCCTGTCCTGCCAATCCATGAGTCTCTAAGTCCTGATTGGCTGGAGCAGGCTGCAGATGGCAAAGGAGGCCTAAAAAAAGTAGACAAAATGATGAATCAAAAATAGGTAAAAATTTGTAGCTTTATATTGGTTGGGTTCTTTGTACTGAAGAAGTACAAAGGAATGAAATTTTGATTAATTGGTGATTTCTGACGAATATCAAAATTCGTTATTTGATTCGTGCCCATATCTATATGTTTATGACATATTTAAGGAGTGGATTTATCAGTGCCACCTGCCCAGTGAGGATTTGATCAGTGGTTATTTAGCTCACTTTTAGGAATGCCTCCTTTGATCTGTTTTCTACCATCCAGATGATGTATTTAAGATTATAAACCAGTCTGACCCTACTCTGTGCTCAGTCTGAAACTTTTTGATCCAGTGACAAGGTTGCTCTTTTGAAGGAGTAAGTTGGAGCAATCAAGATTGGATCACATTTGGACAGAAAGATCACTTTAAAGATTACATTCTACAGAGCAGCACTTTCTACTGTGATCCAACATGATCTTTCTATTGCTGCCTGATCACACCCCCACGTTTCATACTACAGATCCAAAAATGGATACTCCTCACTCTTTTTCACACAAACCCCTATTATAGACACACATACACTTGAAAGAATGGTTGATACTTTTATAGACCACTAAACAAATCATATAATATGCCAGCTTTTGTGAATCAGGGTCCATTTAATCAGTGTCTTGTGATCAGTGCAATGAATTTAGAGTCTCAAAGCTTCATGGCAGGAATGGTGCAAGCTGTATTGGAGGTGTGGTTTTAAAATTTCAGCTGAGGAAGCTGTTGATTGGATATCACATCCCATCTCTTTAAACAAAGAAACCGAGGCACTGTGCATATACCCTTCCTGATGGCCTTCCTTTTCCCATCTCTTTACAAAAAAACCGAGGCACTATGCATATACCCTTCCTGATGGCCTTCCTTTGAAACTACATGTTTTTGTTTGGTTGGAGAAAACACACACACAAAAAAAACTGGAAGCCTGCATCTGGGAATTGAGGTGAAAATTTATTAAACCTCCTAGGTTTAGCCAATTGGAGCCAAAGTAAAGTCAAATTTGTGTTACCTAGTGGTTGCAGTCCTGTTCAGCTGATGTTGAGAGTCCATGTGTCTTCTTGTTAGTGCAGGGGGAGTCTATAAAGGTATCTTAGTGGTGCTGTTACATTTAACTTGTGTTCCTTGCTGTCTGCGATCACAATGGAGGAATATATATTCTGGTGGACAGAGCCAGCAGGCTGCTTCCAAATGTGTCACTGAAAGGGACAGGGAGAGTTGAGTAGGATGCAGATGGCAAATGTTTCTGTGTCCTGGAGGAGTATCAAGAATAGATCTGATAAGAAACCAGAGGCTGGATTTTTTTTTCCACAGCCCATGGGGGAGGTTTTTGTTAAAACTTGTGACCTAGATGGAGTTGCTGTTTACCTTAGCTGCAGCTGGGAGGAGTGTGAAGAGTGGGCAAGACCCTACCTGCCTGCTCCTCTCGCTGTTGCATTGGGAGCTGGCTAGCTCCACATTTTCATTGGATATTTCAAATGCTTTAGAAGCAAGTCATAATTAATGCCAAACAGGGTTGAGGCCAGATGTGCTGCTGCGATTATCTGGAGCACGGGGAGTGCTGGGTGGCGGTTCTCTGTGTTCCAGCAGAGGCCTTGTGGAACCACAGGCTGTGCTGGATCTCAGAATGTGTCTGATGCCTGGAGCCAGGACCTTCTTCCTTTGTCATTCCTGTTCTCTCACATTGCCAGGCTTCTGTTGGATGCTGCGGCCCTGCCATGTATCCAAGTGCTGTGCCACGACCAGAGGTAAGAACCTGGGAGGATTGCCTAACAGTTTAAGTCATTTCCCAGAGACAAACCACAGCAAGATTAGGCATAAGCTGGGAGCTCCAGCCTTCCCGGTGGAGAAATACAGGTGCTGAAGGCCTGCCTTAGCTTATCAGACAGAAAACTCCCTTCAGCACTGGAGTTTTTTTGGGGGGAAATGACAAGGGATTGATCTAGCACTTCTCAGCTGAGTCACAGCCTTATTAATCTAACCGGCTTCGCTATACAGTATATTTATTACCCCACTGTTTCCATCAGATTCTGAGGTGTGTTTTTTTCTTGAGAGTGTTGATTTTTCCTATTGGCTTCGCTATATATTTATTACCTCACTGTTTCCATCATATTCTGAGGTGTGTGTTTTTTCTTGAGAGTGTTGATTTTTCCTATAGGTATGTTGTGTTATTAGACTTGAGTTTCAGTGTGCTTGTGGGCCTTGGTTTTCATCTGAATTATCCTCTTCAGTTCAACTGTTTCAAGGTGATAATTCATTCTGGTATGCAGACATTCAAGTGACACGTGAATGTACACTAATGGAAAGGGAGAGATGATGGTAGGCTGGTTTCCCATTTAGATCATCCTATGTGCACAAATAATTCATTTTATCGAGCAACTTGACAGAAGCATAAGCCACTACTAGTTGCCCCCAACCAACTATTTGAATGTGTATTCACTGATTAATTCACTTCCACAAAAAGTGTGAATGTGTTACTCTGTGGACCTGCCTAGCTGTGACTGGCAAGGCTGATGATGCATAGCTTTTTCTCCCTAGAAGTATGGGATATAAAAACTGCTGCATTCCCTTTCAAAACCATTTCCTCCCTTCGTCCGTCCATCCCTTCTTTGTGCATGCTTCCCAAAAAAAGTAAATCCTTTTTGCTCTTGGTCTTGAAAATCTGATATATTAACCATGGGATTTTGGTGAGAATATTCCTTGCTGTGTGGGAGATTTATGGACCGAAAGCATATATTTTACTTTTTTAAAGATTTGAAGTTAGTACTGCATTAGGGAAATTGTGAAACACTCCAAATATTTTTTTTTACATTCCCAGGCATGTTCAGACTTCCTTCTGTTAAGCCCTTTGTGAGTAACCAAATACAACTGGAGTGATTACCTTTCTCCCTGTTCTGTAGTCAGAATAATTTCTGACTTGGACTATTCAGAAGAGCTGTTTATTTTAAAAAGTAGTTGGTTTGGGCACCTCTTCCCGAGATGGCTTAGGGGCCTATCCTTTGTCTTTTGGGATAGGAACTGAGCCAACCATTTTTTCCCTGTCTAACTCCAAAGGGCCAAAGATGTAATAAGTTAGAGAGTGAGTGAATTGATGAGTACTATATCAGTGGGTTGAAATGCCTAGTGGCGAGCCAGTTCTTGAAGCTCAAATCCTCATTGTACCTTCCAGGAAAGAAACCAACTGAACTTATCAGGAACATGTGCGGCTGAAGGAGTTAATAATAGTAAGAAGCAGTTCAGCACACATACTATATATTCCACTTTAGCATATCTTCACACGGTGAGAGATGGCTTGTGACTGGAGCAAGGGGGCACCTCCCAAAAAAGTGTGGAAGTGATGCAGCCCCCCCCCCACAGAGCTGCAATATTATCTTAAACTCTGAGACAAACCCATAAACTCACTCCTTGCTACCTCCACAAATTAACAGAGGGCCTAGAAAGGAGGGTACGTAGTGAGCTCAGGGCAGAGACAAGAAACAACCCGCTCTTGGCCATTATATTACACTGGCTCTCGTGCATCCACACATGTTAAAACTAAATCCAGTCACCACAGTTTGCTCCTAGTATTTGAAGATATATGATAGGCTTTGGAGAACTTTTCTTGGGTGCAGGGGAAGAGTAATTCCCCTAAGGTAAGCAGCTTACATGGATGTAATTGGCATGAAGGTGACTGGAATGTGCATGCCATGACATGGCTACTAGAGGAACAAGGCTTTATAACTGGGTTCTACATGTGTGCAATCTGGATCCAACTTTTACACTAGATCTTTTCCACTGACCATAATTTATAGGATATGTTTGGTAAGCAGTCTCTCATAAAAAGAAGTAAATTGGTATTCCCTCTGAAGACAAAAATTCATTGAAAAAGACAGTAATTCTGGGAAAAGTTGAACACAGCAGGAAAAGAGGAAGACCAAATATGATATGGACTGATTCCATAGAGGAAGCCTGGAATTCACAAGAGCTGAGCAGGGGCTGCTATGGACATTTTAGAGGCCACTCATTCATAAGGCCACCATAAGCCAGAGGTGACTTCATAGTACATAACAACTCAACAACTTGAGAAAGCTTAGTAATCTTTCTTCGTTATATTCATGAAATCCCTTGATACAGGTTATTATTTATTTACTTGACTTACTGTTCAATTAAGCACATATAGTTGGGGAGGGGGAAAGAATAAAAATGAAATTTGAAGCTTTTTTTAAATTAAGTCATTTGTAAGTGATGTGAATTATCCACCTATGCCAGAAAACTCTTTTTAGTAAATTAGTTTTTGTTGCTCCTGCTGTTCTTTTTTCAGATGGCCCTTCTTTCCAAGTTTTTCTATATCTGCTCTCTCTTCAGCTTATTTCCCCATAACTGTAGCCATCGGATCTCATGGGCATTTGTCTTTTTCCTTACATCCTGTGTTAAAGCAAAGCAAAGTGTGCTGCTTATATACTGTCCCATAGACTTAAAGCACAATTTAATTGTGCAGGCTACACATTGCTCCCCCCTCCAGCAAGCGGGGTACTCATTTTACTGATCTTGGAAGGATGGAAGGCTGAGTCAACCTTGAGCTGGCTACCTGGGATTAAACCAGGGGTGGGCAATCAATTTCTATAGGGGGGGCCACATGGAAAATCTGAACTGTGTTCAAGGGCTGAACCAACTTTACTTAAAAATAAAATGAAACAGTGATGTTATGATTGTTTTTATTTCAAACTTGTTAATCTTCACAAATTCTAAAGAGTTTTTTGTGGCATATTAAAGATAAGCAACTGATCAACTTTAGACAAAAACTATAAATGGTTTTGATGTTCAAAACTGTCCGTGGGCCGGACAGGAGTAGCTCATGGGCCATATGTGGCCCTCGGGCTGCACTTTGCCCAAGTCTGGATTAAACCCTTGGTCTTAATTATAATACAGAACAGTACTTGTCCCTTATTCTTCCTGGTCCATTTCCCATTCCCCTTAAACAGGAATTCCCTGCAGTCCCCTTGTTCATGCATCATTGATCTAGGTTTAGAGGAAAGATTATACGATGGAGATGAATTAGATGGTTGTCATGATTTTTATGCCTTGAGTGTGACCTTACAAAGGCATTAGTTTCAGCACTGATGGTCTGATGCTGGGTACACCTTGCCTTCTATGTCCTTAAAATCAAGCCTTTGACCTGGTACTACATGAGCACCATTTTTCACCGATCTTGAAGGTGATGGCCTTATTTCTGTCTTCTGAAATTCAGTCAGATATTCCAGATAGCCTTTGATTTACAGTTGAGCACTTTGAATCAAATCAGATTTGAAGAGTTACAGATTTGGAAACAGAAAATAAGCTGAGTATGCTGATGCTTCTCAAGGATGACGTGTCTTTTGAACACTTGATCATATCCATTGTGTAGGAGATAGAATGATGGACCTGGATTCAGGAGATCTGGGTTCAAGTCCTTGCTCAGCCACGGAAGCTCTCTGTGTGTGATTGAGGAGATGGGTAAGAAATAAAATTGACACCCAAATTAGGCCATGAGTTTTGCAGGATATGCAGGTACTTAGATATGCATATTGGGGCCCATGATCACTCTCCATTTCTAACTTAAACGTAGTCCCAAGATGAAGGCTGAATGAATCACTGGTGGATGTGCAGGTACTTAGATATGCATGTTGGGGCCCATGATCACTCTCCATTTCTAAAAACACAAACATTGGCTGCAGTTCTGAGAAATGGTGTGAGAAGGAAGACGTAAAAGAGGAGAAGAGTAAGAGTGAGCCGTCCCCTCAAACGTCTTTAGAGGAGACAAAAAAGGTAATAGTACTGGAGGAAGAATGGGTAGAAGGGGAAAGTGAGCCACGAGTATTCAAAATTCCACAGAAAGGGAAAGGGATAGAGAACATCGATGTGAAGGAGGCCGAGAAGAAGGCAAAAGAAGAAAAACCAATAATCGAAGGATTGGGACCAGAGGAATGGACTGTCTTGATGTACCCAAAAGGATGAGGTCCCTGGAAGAAAAAACAATAATCGAAGGATTGGAACCAGAGGAATGGACTGTCTTGGTGTACCCAAAAGGATGAGGTCCCTGGAAGAGGATGATTCATCCAAGGCCAGTCCAACCTCACGAGAAACCCCCAGAGGGAGAGTGGTCACGTCATCCTTGCTGCGGGACGATCTGTGCAGTAAGGAGTGGATGTATGAGAAAACTGAGGGATCAGGAATGTTCCGGTCAGTATTTGCAGTAAAGAGAGACACTTATGAAAAAATATTGCCTTCGTTGTGGGCGGACTTGCCAGTTAATAATGAATCTGCAGATCCTTTTGAACTTGTAATCGAAAAACCAGTTGATGTTGTTAATAAAAGTTTATTCAAAGAAATTCCTCTCTTGTCATTTCCCGCCAAAAATAAGAAACTGTCAGGCTCTGACAAACAACCCGATCACAAATGGCCATTTTAAGCCAGGCCTACAGTCCACGCTGTTCTAGTCCAAAACATTTGGAGGACATCGTTTTCCACCAAACAGAGCCTGACAGTTCCTTGACAAACAACCCAGTCACAAATGGTGCTTGCCATTTTAAGCCAGGCCTACGTTGCGAGTCCATGCTGTTCTAGTCCAAAACATTTGGAGGACACAAGGGTTCCTACTCCCATTCTAAATCCATATATATCCAAACAAATTAGTACTAGTATATCAGACAACATATTTAGCAGGTTTCAGGCCTCCAACAGATTGACCTGGCAGCTTTTCTTTCTACTGGATGCATCTTAGCTCAGCCGCCTTTCCTACAATTACAGTTCTTCCCACATCAGTGTTGAGGGCAAAGATCATGCTTGGGTTTTTTCCATTGACAGGGATATTTGGCCAGCGCTTGGAAGAGACGGTCCAATATGAAAAGAAATATGGACAGCACCTGGCTCCACTGTTGGTGGAGCAATGTGTGGACTTTATCCGGAAGCATGGCCTCATGGAGGAAGGACTCTTCCGCATGCCTGGGCAAGCTAATCTGGTGAAAGAGCTCCAGGACTCCTTTGACTCTGGAGAAAAGCCCTTGTTTGACAGGTGAGCCTCTGTTGTTTATTTATGTATTCATTTGCTATCATTTGGCCACTTCCTGCGTTCCTGTAGCTGTTCTCTCCCAGAGGACAGTGGGCTATTGGGAAAGTCCATTCATTGAGAATGATAGAATTGGCAGAATGTCGGATTGCTCTTGGGGAGTGAGTGACCTCTTGCTGTTCCTCTGATAGCTTTACAAAAAAAATTTTCTAGGTGATGTCTGAGGCACAGCAATGTAAGGCCTGCTATGTTTGTCAAGGATACCTCTTTCATTGCTTCCTTCGTTGCAGCCACACTGACGTTCACACAGTTGCATCCCTGTTGAAACTTTATCTCCGAGAACTTCCAGAGCCAGTCATTCCTTTCACCCGATATGAAGACTTTCTTTCCTGTGGGCAACTGCTTTCCAAGGACAGAGGGGAGGTCAGTGAACATTATAAAACTTCACGGTAGCAATCTGAAGACAAAGCATCTGCGGAAAAATCAGCCACACTGTGGCTGGGTAATGACTACTCAGTAAATGTGATTTCAGTTATAAAGCAGTTCATTTTATGTGTTACTCAAATTTGTTCAAAGTTTGTTCAAAGAGGGTGCAGTCCAGTCATGCAAGACCAAAGGGAACCTCTGTAGGTACAGAACTAACTACACGAGAATGCTTTCCTCTCTCAGATGTCCATCCAAACCTGTGTGCAAGAGGACCAGGAGGAGCGATACAGCATCAGGGGGGTAGCTGAAGATATAGCCCCACTGTTTCTTGGAAGACACTTTGCTTCTTCACCTGACGAATGCATGTTGTTCTTGTTCCATGCTGCCAAGTCATGACTTGACATAGGGTTTTCAAGGGCCTTGAGAGGTTTAAGAAATAATTTATCATTTCCACACCAGTAAGATTTGATGGTTCAGTAGGGATCTGAACCCAGGTCTCTTGAATCCAGCCCTACACTCTAGTCATGATATCTCATTGGATCTTGAGGAAAACATAAAGATGGCTAACCGCATATCTAGTTAACTATGCTGGCATTTGATATATGGTGTCAAAAATATATAGTTTGCCACCTCATACCTGCAATGCTATAATAATTCCTCTCTGTATATGTGCGAGCACTTGCTTACTTCCTACAACTACTCCTTTGTGGCCTTGGCTGCCAAATGGGTGGTATATAAATCAAATAAATCAATAAAAAATAAATAATTGCTGAATCTGTTGTTACTACATTAACCCAGAATTATGTGAGAGAGCTCTAGAGGAAAACAGCCAATATGTCCTAGCCTTAAAGCCACTGTTGCCCTGCTCCCTAATAATAATTCCTTTCTGTATATGCATGAGCACTTGTTTACGTCCTACAACTACTCCTTTATGGCCTTGGCTGCCAGTTGGGTGGTATATAAATCAAATAAATAAATAAATAAATAAATAATAAATAAATGTTTAATCTGTTGTTGCCACATTAGCCCAGAATTATGTGAGAGAGCTCTAGAGGAAAACAATCAATATGTCCTTAAAGCCACTGTTGCCCTGCTCCCTAACAGGCTTTTCTCTGCCTCTCAAGCCAAGCCAAACTAAGCTTTCCTTTGCCACTGTCCTGCAAGAAAGTCAGACACCAGACATTTCTGCTCCAAATTGATGGATAGAAGGGGAAGGGAGGGAGTGAGTTTGTGTATAAGGAATAAGGAAGAAGTTGTTTGATGCATATCTCTGGTCCCCCAAAATATATTTTCCTGTTTTGTTTCTTTGACACAGTCATTATTAGTGGATCAAACAGACATGTATATATATATTTAAACCAATTAGGGTAATACATAATTTATTTATTTATTTAAAAAAATAGAAATCCCTGGTGAGGAGACAGTTGGGAGTAAAGACAGAGATTCCCCCCTCCTTTAATTTTAAAGGCGCTAGATCAAATAGGGTGGCTTGAGATGCATATGTCATTTGAACACAAGGATCATACCAAATGGCATACCAGACTTCTACCTACCTTAAGTGGGATAGAGAAGCATACCATATCATACCGTAGCATTTGGTATGCTATTTGGTACTATATAGCCCAATCCAGCCCACTCAAATTGATCCCTGTTGACAAGCCCTCAGTTTCTTAAGCTGAGATGCCTTTAATTGAATCGACATTCGACTGAGAGGAATGAATCATAAAAGAAATCTTTAGGAAGCAGACGAGAAATATCTTCCAAGAGGAAATCTGGGACTCAAAATAAAATCTGAGGGACTCAGGTCAGTTTATGTATTGTTGCTGTTGTTTAGTCGTTAAGTCATGTCCGATTCTTCGTGACCCCATGGACCAGAGCACGCCAGGCCCTCCTGTCTTCCACTGCCTCCCGGAGTTGGGTCAAAAGTTTATGTATTACATGATGGTAAATCTCCATGCAGGCCAGCAATTGGGGCTATCAAACAATGTCCATAGCCATAGATAGATGAAAGTAGAAGCTATTGCTCATACCAGTTTTCTCCCATCCCTTAGGGGACTTTGGAATTGGCAAAACATGTGAAAAATCTTCCGCAAGCCAACTACAACCTTCTCAAGTACATCTGCAAGTAAGTTATGTTCATAAAGAAAAGAAAAAAGATTAGCTGAAGCCACAGTGACTTCTAGTGTGACAAAATGTCCCATTAACATTGTTGGTGTGAAAAGGGACTGGGGAGGTGGAATGCCCCCATCCCCTAATGCTTTTATGTATGTTCACTGGTGTGCACAACCTCAATTGGTTGCTTCCTTGGTTCACTGTAGCTGTTTGCTCTTGGGGCCAATTAAATAATATACGTATGAGACTTGCAACCAGTCTTCATTAGGGCATTTGTTTTCAAAATTGGTCTTCACGTTGTTGAGTAGTCAATGAAATTCAGCTGTGTAAGAGTTCCACTAAGAGCAAATACGGTGAATGAAAAGTTAAAACAATGGTCCTCCCTCTGAATGGGTGTTTCCTGATTTTGTGCTGCATACCATGCACACTCTTGAAAACTCCTTTGCTAAAATTTATTCACCATATCTGTATCCTGCTCTTCCTTCACTTTATATTCAATGTGGTGTTGCTGAAAGAAAATGGTCTGTCCCTGATTATGTAGTGAAGTTCGTTACTTGGAAGAACCTCAACCATGGTTCAAGAGCAGCCTACACGCTGTAGGACTGAGGCTTGAAATATCTCCTGAAATTTGGTGGATACACTATGTCAATCAGTACTGTCTTTGTCATTTAAAAAAGGAAACAACTGTGCCTAACAGCAGTGTCCACAGGATTTCAGAAGGATATGCAGAATGTACTACTAAGCACATCCAGATTCACATGAATAGATGTTTTTGAAAAATGAAAAATGGAAGATGTTTGGTGAAACACAGAGAAGGAGGGCAGTTCATAGTAGTTTCCATGCCCTTTTCTGATTCTCCCAAAGTTTTTGCATTTCACTCTCTCTGAAGCAGAGTTTGCTCAATTAAATAATATATGAGACTTGCAACCAGTCTTCATTAGGGACCTGTTGTGGGAAAGGGGTCCATTTAACTCCTTCCCCTTCTAGTGTTTGCCTATTCAAAATTGCACTCCAGCTTTTGTTTCCACAGGGAGATTATATGGGGATTCCATCTCTCTTTTTTGGACAATAGGGGAAGCAAGGTAGTCTTCCATTCTTGCTCATGCTTTGAATGCTAATTGTCAGCAGGAGACTCTGCATGCACTTGCCATGTATCGAATTTGGCTTTTAGACACATACATTCCGGACATCTCTGAGACATGGTTATCATGTTGAAAACCCTGTGTTGTCTTTTCCTTTATTTGGAAGTGCTGGTGATGTATAAACTTCTCACTTTTCTCTTTGTTGGGGGCTTTTCAAGTTTCCTTGATGAAGTTCAGTCTCACTCCAGCCATAACAAGATGAGCGTCCAGAATCTTGCCACTGTGTTTGGTCCAAATATTCTTCGGTCACAAGTAGAAGACCCGGTAACTATAATGGAAAGTAGGTACTTTAGAGCTTGAAAGGTACCAAAGCAAATTTAATGGTTAAGTGGACAATATCCAACAGCTCCCTAGTATTTGAGAAGAATTCTAAAATGAAATACCAGGCATTTGCCAAAGAATTAAAGCAACAGAGCTCATGTGAAGAATTGGTTTCATGGAGTCATGTGATGTGAAAGCAACAGAGCTCACGTGTAGAATTGGTTTCATGGAGTCATGTGATGTGCTTCTATGGAAAAACATGGCTAATTTCTTTTAAAGATGTGATGGCTGACTTGGGATGTAAAGCACACCAGTGCACACACTGACATCTATTCAGAGGTACTTTGCCATTCCCTATATAATTGCTTTAACTCAAGAGTTGAGGTGGGAGATTCCTTGAGCTGCAAGACCATTATGAACGGGTGGGGAGGGAAGACATTTTTCATCCAGCCATCATGAACTGGCAGCCCATTAAAAAATCTCAGATCCATTGCTCCAGTGCTACTTTAAAAACTGCAAGACCATTATTCCCCATGGGACAAGTAGTTTTTAGGCGCAGATCATTTGCCGTTGCAAACAGTTAGTCAGCTTTCCTCTTCTGTGCTGTTAAGCACAAATCCAAGGAGTCACGTAATGGGAATACGTTTTTAGGCCAGTGAAGAGAAGGGTGCCTTCCTAGCATTAAATCACCACTGCCTCCGAACCACATTATATTCCCTCATCCCTTCCTCCCCCCCCATGCAAACAGATCTCTGTTATGTGCCTTTTAGTGCCCACCCACTCTCTCAGCCTAATCCTGATGTACATTTCCTCATTGTGTTGTGTTGTTCAGCATACCAGGGGAAGACAGATAGTGAAGTGGGGAGGAGAGTGAAAGGGATGGAAATAGCAGGAGGAACATAAGAATATAACCCATAACAGGTGGGGAGGGAAGACATTTTTCATCTAGCCATCATGAATTGGCAGCCCGTTAAAAAAATCGCAGATCCATTGCTCCAGTGCTACTTTAAAAACAAATAAACTAGTGCTCTTCCGAGTAGCCAGATTGGCCCCTTCCCTCTTGTCCTTCCATTGTCAAGCAAACACCTTCCTTTTCAGGCAGGTTTTTAAGCGATAAGCAGCTTCGTGTTCATTTGTTTAGGAATGCTGCATTTATTGAAGTTAGCGATTTCGAAATATTCTCAACAGTGGTTTTTAATACTGATAGGTGTTTAACTGTTTATAGCTCTTATGGTGTTTTAAACTGTGATTGTGTGGCTTTAATGATCCACTTTGGTTCCCCTATAGGAGAAAGATGGCATATGAATAACAGAAATAAATAATAAAAAGTGATGCCAGCAAGGCAGCTTGCCACAAAGAAATAAATAAATTGCAACTTGTAGCACAGTGCATCATGCTCCTAGCTCTCTCCTGTTCATTCCTCCCACTACCAGAGATACCCACCTAGAAAGAAGTTTAGAATTGTCAAGCTAACATTCAGCATGAGCTGAATGGGAACAGAATCATGTTTCACAGCTGAAGAAAGGATCAAAGGGATCTTATCCTACAGCTGCAGGCCAAATGCAGTGCAAAGCTTTTTTTCCTCCCTTCTGACATACTGTTTTTAATAACCACCACAAATTGGCCATGCAGTTTCCCAGCTCTGTGTTGACAATTTAATGCTGAGTTTGTTATCTTATTGTATTTACAGATTCAGCATTGCTTACCACTTTGTTTTTTTGGATAAACTTGCAGTTCCCCTGTGCCTTAATTGCCCATTCTTCAGTTGGTATATTTTCTTTCCTGGAACCTGACTTTCTGGCATGTCCACTGGAGACAATTTGTTCCTTCCTATTACACGTCTCAGTGGTTAGGGACTGTTCAGGCATCAGAGAGCTGTGGTTCAGAGAAGCCATTTGGAACTGCAATTTTGAATGAAGAAGGAAGTGGGAAACAATTCTTAATCACTAAATAAGATAAGCTGAGCATTAAATTGCTGTCTTGAAGCTGGGAAACAGCGGCCGTGGCTGCTGATTCTCAGTGGCTGCCTTATTAAAGCACATAAGAGTGTCAAAATATTAATAATTGTGGAGACTTTGATGAGAGAGATTGGTGAAGGGCCAGACTCTCTGGGACTGTCATTTCTTTCCAGGATGATCTGCCTCTGCAGCCCGAAATTGGTCTGGTCTGAGACAGTCCCAGAGTTCCCTTGTTATTGTCCTCTGGATCAGCCTGGCAGCACAAGGGGAATCTTAAGTAACTAAGACTATAACTACAGTACATGTTCAAGTACCATGGGATTTGCTCTGCTTATAAAACAGATGAACTCAAAGAAGTTTTTACTGACCACTTAACAAAAAGGCTGATTTGAATTGGTCCATTAGTTTTGCTCCTAAAGTGGCTTTTTTTCAAGTGTCTCCTTTTTCAAGCCAGAACAGTTCTAGCAGGCTTTTCCTCGTGTGGTAATACATTCTTGTAAAGACAGCGTGTGAATCTGTAGGTGGCATTTCAGTGATGTAGACAGTTGGGCATGATGTTCAGGACTGGGGGAACATGCATTCTTTCCTCTCCCTCGATCATCCTCTATAGTATTTTTACTTTTGTCATGAATACAAGGGTTGGGATTCAGTGGTACATACATAGGAATGCTAGATGAGTACATATTTGTGCATGTGGGTCCTGGTTTCTTAACGTCAAAGTATATAGAGAAACTGGACAGAAGGATCCAGCTTCCCTCATAAAGTGTCTATATTTTCTTTGAAAAGACGGCTGTCTTAACATGACTGTCTTAACATTGACTTCATAGGTAATTCCCTGGTTCAGCACTTGATGACTGCTTTGATAAGTGAGCATGGGCAGATTTTTGCCGACTCTCTCACGAAGGGCTCAGACAATCAACTGGAAGCTCACTGCCGGTGTCCACATGGTGTCATGGACTGGATCTCAAAGGACGGCAGGTCAGAAAACAAGCTAGAAAGCAGTATTGTCAGCCCTATTAACTTCCCTCCAGAGGCACCATCTCCTGCAACTGCCGCTGTCATTCAGGAAGGACACGGCAAAAGGACTTGTGACCGCTCTGCGGCCAACCCCAGCAAGGGAGGGCAGATGTTTCCCACTTGGAAATACTCCTTTCAGCCACAGGATGCTGAATCACTCAGGCACAAAATGGGTGGCACTCTGTTGAACAGCCCAAGCTTGCCTTCAAGTGGGAACTGGCTAATGAATGGATTGTACTCCCTTCATGGACACTATAGGCCATCCTCCGGAGGGCTGCTCAAAGACTCAAGATCATCCCAAAGACTTTCTATCTATGACAATGTCCCCATTTCCACTCCCTCTTTCAGTACTCACATTAACACTAATAATGTCACACGGTCAACGTCTTCTTGTGAAATCTCAGCTACCATTGATTCAATCAGTAGCTGTGCTGCCCACCGGGCAACAGACTCCTCAACTTTCAGCTCTCTTCCAATGGAGTGGGTGACCTATAACTCCTTGCTGCACAGTGAAAGCTCCCAAGGGGACAGCATGGAGAGGCCAGAAGAACCCAGCAGCAGCAACAGTGACCAAAACAGCCTGGCAATTGCTCCCAAAGGTGCAGCTGATTGCTCTGGAGACCTCCAGAGTCTCATCGCTGAGCTGAAAGCAAAGCTGAGCAAACAAAGGGCTGAGTACGAGTCTACCCTCAAAAGGTAAGATGGCTCAAGGAAAATCTGAAACCTAGGCTGATTGGAAGTCCTTGGCTATATAAAGAGGCTGCATGGAGGGAATTACTGAAGTAAACTTATATCACAGAGAAAGGATGAAGTTTAGAAAGTTACTTAGATCTGTTTATCTGCCCCACTACCTTTGAGCTTTTGCTCACAGCAGCTAAATTGCTAAGTTTCATAGCTGGGTTAGCAAATGAGGTATGGAAATATGTGCAACACCTAATTATGACCAAGGTGCTAATCAAGGTGATTACAGAATAATTGCACTTCCTCTATGTGGTGTAGTAGATCGAGTGAAGGACTAGGACTCTGGAGACCAGGGCCAAATTCCCGTTCAGCCATGGAAACTCACTGGAGGAGCGGAACTGATAAAACCACTACTTGAATATCTCATTTACCATGTAAGCCCTATTAGGGTTGCTTTAAGCTGGTTCCAACTTGAATGCATATAACTAACTACAGTGGTGCCTCGCTTAACGATTACCTTGTTAAATGATGAATCTGCTTGACGATGAGGTTTTTGCGATTGCTTTTGCGATCGGAAAACAATGTTTCAATGGGCAATTTTCGTTTGAAGATGATCGATTCCCTGCTTCAGGAACCGAGTCTTCGCATTACAACAATCTAAAAACAGCTGATCGTCGGGTTTCAAAATGGCCACCCGCTGTGCAAAATGGCTCCCCACTGTGATTGGGACAGATTTTTTGCTTAACAGGCACTGGAAAATGGCCGCCCTATGGAGGATCTTCGCTGGACAATTAGGTATTTAGCCCATTGGAACACGTTGAGCGGTTTTCAATGCTTTTCAATGGTTTTTTCCCCTGCTTGAGGACGATTTCGCTCTATAGCGATTTCGCTGGAACAGATTAACGTCGTCAAGCGAGGCACCACTGTAAACTAAATCTCATATTGTATGGTTTCACAGAGAAATATTCAGATAAATACCGTTATCTGTGGAACTAAAGAGGCACATAAGTTTCTACAGAGGGGCATATCAAACAAAAGGCACTACAGTGGTGCCCCGCATAGTGAGGTTAATCCGTTCCGGATTAACCGTCGGTATGGGGAAACATCACTATACGGAACGAAAAAACCCATTTGAACGCATTAATCTTCGTTTAATGCGTTCCAATGGGGCCCAAAACTCACTGCAATGTTTCCCCATCCGGCCGCCATTTTCGCGCCCTCGGTAAGCGAGGGCAGGGTGCGAAAACGCTGCGCGTGGCCATTTTGGGCGTCCGGCGGCCATTTTGGAACCGCCGATCAGCTGTTTAAAAGAAATCGCTATGCAAAAATCGGTAAGCGAAACGCTTACCGATCATCGCAAAGCGATTTTCGGCCATAGAAAGCATCGATATGCGATCACATTAGCGAGCCCAAAAAACAGATCGCTATGCGAATTCATTGTTAAATGGTGCACTCGTTATGCGAGGCACCACTGTATTTAGAAATTTGATTAAGAAAAGGTTCTGCATAAGGAGGCACTGTACCTTTGGGGAGACAATGAACAGTGCAGTTATTCCATTTTTCTCCTCTTAACAGATTTTCTGTATTAAAAGAAAAAGCCATAGAAAAACATAGGAGGATTACAAAGGAAAGCCAGTGATACCTGCTACTTCCTCGACCTCCAGTGTAACTCTGTGTCATACAAGCATTTCCATATTCAAACTGTAGGCTGGCCCTGCAGTGTAAGCAGGATGACATGCCTTGCTTATGTTCGCCTCTGGTTGCAGAGGTGGAGAGACATCGGGATAAGGATCCAAATGGTGGAAAAGACACTTTAAAAAATATTGACATAAGTGGGGATGTGAGACATTTCACTTTGCTCTCAGCAGCAACACAAGTTCATTGCATTGCTCCTAAAATAACCAACAAAGACTATAACTATGGTGATATGATTATTAGGCTTTCAGAGGCTGGTATGGGCTTTAACATTATATAGGATACTAGCTAATCAATGTTCTTGTTTGCCTTTAAGAACAGAGAAAACAAGCACAGAACTGAGGATGAAGGTGGCAAGATTAGAAGAGGAGCTGGATCAAGAAAAGAAGAAATATATGCTGCTGGAGATCAAGCTGAGGAACTCTGAGCGGGCACGGAAAGATGCAGATAGAAGAAACTATCTCTTGCAAGAAGAGATGGAAACCTTCTTCACAACATTAGGGAATTTAACTTTAGAAGGAGCATTGGCTAACATCCCAAAATAAGATAAGGTGAAAGCAGATTCCTCGTTCTCTGCTCTCCATTTTATTTCAGCAACAGAACTGGCCCATTTCTCTCTGTTTTGTCCCACTTAAACTTGTATATCAGGCCTAGTATTGCAATGACACAAAAACGTTTGCTATAAATTACTGGTTTACAGGCATTAACAATATTACAGCTAAAGACAGGTTTAAGATTGGGTTAGGAAGTAGTGAAGCATGTCATAATGAAAGCAATATACTGTGCAACAATTTCAATGTGTGATCCTGCAGTCTAGTGTCATGATTCCTACTACTGACAAAGCATTCATTCTAATCAATTGATTAAATCTGGATGTATTTGCAACATATATATTTATAATGAAAAATGAGGTCTCCTTTTAGATGTTTTCTAGATAAATTAGAGAATTGGAACATTAAACAATGCAAACAATAGGAAGACACAAGATTACACCACCAAGCTATCATCTTTCTTCAATGTGAGAAATGACCTATTCTTTATTAAATGCAAAAAAATATAGAGAGGTATAGTACGTACATCTATGCAGGTACCCAGTGTGGTGTCCCAAACAGAGTAACAAACTAGGACTCTCTAGGCCTGGCTTCAGATCCCCACTCAGCCATGGAAACTGGCTGCAAATCCAGGTAGCTGGCTCGAGGTTCACTCAGCCTTCCAAGGTAAGTAAACTGAGTACCCAGTTTATGGTGGGGTGGTGGTACAATGTATAGCCTGCATAATTAAACTGTAAAGTGCCCAGAGAGTGCTTTAAGTGCTATGGGGTAGTATATAAGCAGCATGCTTTATTAAGGATGCTATAAGTCAGTTCCAACTAGACAGCACATAACTTACTATGGTTCATCTATAAACAAATGTTTGAACAATTAATATAATTACCTATTTTCAGAACAGCAAACATCCACTGCCTGACAAATGCAGCTTCTCCCTCTACTCACTGTCAAATGTTCCCTTTGTATAGCATCCTTCTCCAAACCGTTGCGCAAGCCAATGAAATTGCCCACCCCCTCAACTATTTCATGGCTTTGATACAGATTGTTCCCATTTCTTGAGAACACAGGAAATACATGCCTGAAATTCCCCTCTACCTGGGAAACAGTATTTTATAATGTGTGATGAAAGTATGCACTGACAACAGGGAAGACTTTGAGGCTTTCATGCCTACAGCTAAGAGTTTGTTGTCTATATGGTTTTGTCCTATCTAAGCAGAGTTTCATGGCCTGTTGAATAAAAAGGCAGTGCCACTCCTGGATAGAAAAAGGGAATTATTGGCTGCTGATTTCTATTGAATGATATATTAACTGTGGAAGTGAAAGCTGGGTCCCATCTCAAAAGCACCTTGTCCTCATATCGGAGGAAGAGGGAGGAAAATGTAGAAATGGCCCTTCAGCTGCCAAGCAGTCAGTCAGTGAACTTTGTTCATCTTGACAGGAATAGGGGCACAAAAAGATCTGCAAGAAAGATCAGGAGATATTCCACTTCAGTTTCCAGCTACACAAACACCACTGGGTGAAGGATCCAATCCCCTGCATCCTTGTTTTACCTGCTGAGCCAACCTGCTTCAGTGTTTAGTTCTATTCACATGAATTCTGCTCTCCTCTAGCTAGATATACTGTAGATCCAGTGGTTCCATCACAGCCTTCTGGAGGTCCTCTGAGACATCTTCAGCTGGACAAGAAAGCCAGAATAGCCACTGAAGAGGGGGCTGGCCTGCAAAAGATCAGGTGTGGCCCACTTGGCCACAGGGCCTGAGAGCAAACTGATCACAAAGCTCACTTTAGTCTGTGACATCTTTGGGGCATAGCTGCATATATAGGTTGCAGTGGGCTAGGAACACAGGGAACGTACTTGGAGAGCCAGCAAACTTCTCCAGAACAGCCACAGGGCACTTTGCCTTGTAGGGGTAGGCTGAGGAGGTGATATACGGTAGCTTGTAGATTATTCATCTGAGCCTGCAGATTAGCTGCTGTGACCATCAGGTGTGCCATCTGGTCCAAAAGGGCCTGGTTCTGCTGTACAAGGCTTCCACGTCACCAAATATGGGTGGGAGACAAATTGGTATGTCAGGCACCAAGACCAAGGCTGTGGCATTGTAAGCTATTCCTTATTCATCAAAGGAGGAGATCTATATTGTCCATGAGTCGAGCTGTTAGTCTGAACAGACTAGTCACTTCCCCCACAGGGTAATTAGGCAGAGGCAAGATTGTTAAAAGTCTGTTAAAGTTCCAGAAATTTGCACAGGCAGCATGGAACGGTATGCAAGAGGTGAGCAGACTCATTGTCTTCCACAAAGGCTATGCTGGCGGGACACAGTTCACAGGCTGCCTCTCCCTGGTGTCTAGCTGCTTCTGATGACCACTCGTGTGAAACATTGGCTGCCTTTTTGCTTTCATCTCCTTGGGATAAACGGGCATCACATCTGCTGTACTTTCTTCGTATTCTGATACTTCTCTGTCGAGGGTACTACTTCTAGCTTTGCTTTGCTTTCTGGAATAATACTGAGCATTCAAACACTGAATTCACTTTCCACAGCAGCCTCCCCTGCATTCGTAACATGTGCTCCCTCTTCTGAAGATGGTTCATCTAGGTGAGGCATGACACAGATGAACTGTAGCATCTCCATGTGGAACCTCTGCATTTTCAGTGTCAATTCATGCAGCTGAGATCCTCAGTTGTTGTTTTTCCCCTTTTATGCCATGAACCATGCTGGGGGCACTCCCTTCTTCCTTTCAAGGGTAGGAACCTTTTATATCGCTGTGATCTGGAGGAAATTATCTATGGCAGGACTCAATCCTCCAGTGCATATACTGTATTATTACAACGATGGAATTGGAAGCAACCTAGAAGGCTATTCCGAGTCCAACCCTCTGCTCAATGCAGAAATCCAAGTTAAAGTATATCTGACAGATGGCAAACTTTCTCTTGAATGCCTGTTGTTGGGAGGACTTGGAGGTAATTGGTTTATGATCATACTCCTCTTACAGTCATGTTTTTTTCTTGATATTCAATCAAAATCTGGCTTCCTGTAATCTAAGCCCTTTATTACATGCCCTGCACTCTCCCTTTAGTTTCCTTTTGTCAAGATTAGCATGTCCAGTTGTTTCAGCCTTTTGTCACAGGGTTTGGTTTCCAGTAGCCATCCTTGTTGTCCTCCTCTGAACCTGCTCCAGTTTGTCTGCATCCTTTTTAATATGGTGTCCAACACTAGACACGGTACTCAAGATAAGGCCTAACCAGTAATGAATAAGGGGGAACTAGCAATTCATGTGACTTGTAGACTATACATCTGTTAATGCAGCCCAAAATAGCACGGGCTGTTTTTTTTTACAACTATATCACACATTTGGCTCATATTCAGCTTGTGATCTTCAACAATTCCATGACCCTTCTTTGCATGAAGTATTACTGAGACAAGTATTCCCCATCAACAGCACATTTACTTATTTTTTTGTAGGTGTAGAATGTTGCACTTTTCTCTGTGACATTTCATTCTGTTGGTTTCCAACCCAGTGCCTGATTGTTTTGAATTGTTTTTCTATCAGCGGTTCCACCCAAATTTGTGTCATCCATAAACCTGCTGGGCATTCCCCACTCCACTCTACCCCATCCAAATCATTAATAAAAATGTTGAAGAGCACCAGGCCCAGAACTAAGCCTTATGGTACTCTTCTTGTTACCTCCTGCCAGTTGGAGAAGGTGCCACTGGTAAACATTCTCCAAGGATGATTCTGTAACCAACTGTGTATCGACTTAACAGTTGTTCTTTCTATACAGTTTGCACTTAGCTTGCTAAACAGAACATCATGGGGGTCAAGGTGTTCTATATCTTGATTTCAACTTTGCTGAACTCAAGATATATAATATGTACAGCATTCCCACCATCTAACACGGAGGACACCCAAAGAAAAACTGAGATTAAGATTAGTGGCAGGATTTGTTCTTGACAAATCTTAGTTGGCTTTTAGCTATTTCTGCATTGTTTTCAAAGGGCTTGCAGAAAGACCACTTTATAATCTGCTCCAGAATTTTCTTTGGGATTGATGTTAGGCTGATGGTCTATAATTCCTAGGACTCTCTTTTTTGTCCTTACTGAAGACAAGAGACAACATTTGTCCTCAAATCATCTAGCATTTCACACACCTTCCATGATTTCACTATTCCATCCCCACAGAGTATCTAAACCAGGCTTGTCCAACCTGCGGCCCGAGGGCTGCATGTGGCCCAGGTCGGCTCATAATGCGGCCCAGTGCAACTTTTTATTTTTAAAGAAATTCCAAAGTTTCAAGTTACACTGCCGGTGCTTGCAGCCGGAATGTGGCTGGGGCACGTCACAACGGTGGGGAGGAGAGAGGGAAGGAAGGAAGAAGCAGAAGGGAGGGGAGAGGGGGGCTGCGTAGGAGAGAGGGAAAGAAGGAAGGAGAAGAAGGGAGGGGAGAGAGGGGCTGCGTGACTGCATTGCGCCGTCCCCCTCCCGGCCCCATAAAGCCACCAGAGTCAAAGCTGGCAGCCTCTGCTGTCTGAGATCGCAGCTGCTGGTAAGCGCCCTTGGAGCGGGGCTGCGGAGGACAGCTAGGGCTGCCCCCCCCATGTGGCCCAAACCAAATGTATGTGCGGCCCAAATCAAATTTTCATCTTCTAATGTGGCCCAGGGAAGGTGAAAGGTTGGACACCCCTGATCTAAACAATTATTTCTTTTCTTTCTTTTGCTACATGTGTACCTCTACCATGCACACTTACCAGATTGGGTGGGGGAGGGGGATACTTAGCTCAGTGATACCGCATGTGAGAAGAATGTTCAAATTGTTATGGATCACAAACAGAATATAAGCCAGCAATGTGATGCAGCTATAAAAAAAGGGAAATGCTATTTTAGTTCACCTTTATTTGGCACTGGTTAGGCTTCATCTTGACCTATTGTGTTGAGTTCTGGAGAGTGCAGTTTAAGGATGAAGACAAACTGGAATTGGTTCAGAGTAGGGCAACAAGGATGATCAGTGACTGAAAACAAAGCCCTGTGAGGAAAGCCTGAAAGAACTGGGTGTGCTAACCTTGACAAAAGAAACACTCATCAAATACTTGAAAGGTTGCTGCCATGAGGAAAGCCTGACAGAACTGAGTGTGCTAACCTTGGCAAAAGAAGCACTCATCAAATACTTGAAAGGTTGCTGCCCAGAGATAGTATAGGATCTGTTCTCAATCATTCCAGAATGTAGTAAATGTAATAATGGGCTCAAGTTACAGAAAGCTAGATTTCAGCTGAATATCAGGAAAGCGACCTAACTTTTGAACAATTCAACAGTGGAAGCAGATTAGAGTCTGCCGTAGCAAAGAAACAGGAGTGGGCAGGATTACATCTTCCCTATGTTCAAGATACACCTAGGCAAGAACTTTGAAATAGTATGTTTAACCCTAACTTTAGAACAATTCAACAGTGGAAACAGATTAGAGTCTGCCATAGCAAAGAAACAGGAGTGGGCAGAATTACTTCTTCCCTGCGTTCAAGATACACGCAGGCAAGAACTTTGAAATAGTATGTTTAACATAATGACTGAGGTCCAGTGACATTCCTTTTAAATATCTTATTGATGATATTAAGAATCACAGAGTCATAGAACTGTATACCTGGAACGCTCCTAGTGGGCCACTAAGTCCACTTCCTGCCAGAACAAGCCATCCACAACTACAGTATCCCTAACAGGTGGCCAGCCAACCTTTGTTTAAAGAACACTAATACAATAGACCACCACGATTCACAGCACTCCATTCCACTGTCAAACAGCTTACTATCACAAACTTCTTTCTAACATTTGTACAGTTTTCTTGCTCACAGTTTTAAATCTATTACTTTGGGACCTCTGAAGCTAGAGAAAACAAGCTGGCTGCATCTTTCAAGTGACAGTCCTTCAAATATTTGAAGAAAGCAATCATATCACATCTCAGTCTTCTCTCCAAAGGCTAAACACACCCAGTTCCCTCAATCGTTCATCATAAGGTTTGGTTTCCAGACCTTTTACCCTCCTGCTTGCTATCTTCTGGACACCAGCTTGTCAAAAGCCTTTTTAAACTGTAGTGCCCAAAATTGGACAGAGTATTCCAGCTGAGAGAGAAACAAAGCAGAATATAGTGATATAGTGCTTCCCTTGATCTGGACACCCGAAACAGAGCAGAATACAGTACAATGATATAGTGCTTCCCTTGATCTGGACACCATTTTCTCTTGATGCAACCAAGTACAGTAATTTTATTTTATTTTTTTGCAGTCATCTCGCTGCTGATTCACGTTAGGCATGTGGTCTACTAAGACTCTTAGATCTTTTTACAGATGTTGCTGGGATATTACTGCCAAGCCAGCTATCAGCCATCTTATATTTATGCATCTGGTTTTCCTTCTCTTGTTTGTTTGCACAATTAATAAATGTTGCCATTAAATATTTGCACTTGATAAAATGCTGCTACTTATTTCAGAAATGCTACTACGCTGGGATGCACATTCAGTGATTTTTAGGAGAGTAAAAGAAAGTGGCTACAAGTTGATTGGGACGTGAGAAGAACTACTCATTCAGCCTCAGAATCTGCCCCAGCCTTTGCACATATTGCGAATGACATTTGACTATTTTCCAGACTAACACCATGACATCATCAAATCTGGTTCATATACTGAGTTTTAGCATGCTTACATTTCTTGCAATTATGAAACCACACATACACAAGAAAGTTTTGAAAACAATGTTTTTTTTAAAAAAAAAACTGAACCAAACCTTTACTTGATGAATAAAACACAAGACAATTTCAGGCAGATTCCTTGAGAAATTGACCATCAATTCTCTCAGTCTTCATGACTGTATCCAACAAAATGCTTGTGCTATTTTGTTTAATATTTGTTGGATGTACATTTGTGTTCACATTTATATCCACTAGACAAAATATTTCTATCTACATAAGGCAGTCAGTCCAGCCTTAATTCACAAAAACATTGCATTTTCTAAGGATATATTCTCAATGATTGTTTTACTCATACAGCAATTAAGTCCGCTGCGCGCACACACAAAAATCATTCAGTGATGTATACTATAAACAGGTAACATACTTCAGCAAGGAGCAACACGATTTACATGATATTTAGCATTTCTACATAGTTCATAGAAAATCGAGATGCTGAAAACTACTAAAAAAATCATGGCTTCAGAACGATTTCAGCTTTGGGGATTTCTATCATGCTAGTCTAATGCTCTAGTGAGTAAAAAAGAGCAATGGTGTTCATCTAACTGGATGGACTTCTTTGAAGCAGTGTCTCTTTGTCTACTTCTACAAATCCTTCACTACAGGAACCCATGGATGGGAAAAGTACTTGAGGGAGAAAAAGAAGAGTGTTTGCATCCGAGAACAGTATCAGTCTCCGCACAGAAGAATGAGTACAGGATGGAACCGCACAGTGAAACAATGTGGGGAAACATGAATCTGCTCTGCTGATCAACATTAGCTGTGAGTGAAGAGATAGGCTAAAGGCAACTGGAACTGAAATGTTTATTTTCAGCATCACTTTGTTCTGTCCTGTGCCACCACCTTGTTTTGTGTGATCAGAAGTCATCATTCCAGAAGAATGTCACTTTGGGCAGAACACATTTGCTTCTGATGCAACACTGCTAAAGATTACAAAGGTATCCCTATAAGCCACACACAAGCCTCTTTGTTTAGGGTTGCTATCCTGTTTGTTATACCTTAACCTATAATTACATTTTTCACATAACAACATGTCTAAGAAAGAAAATATTAAGCTTACAGACTGAAAAAAAAAATAATTCTGTACAGGACAGGTAAAGCTAGAAATGCTATTTTGAAAAGAAAACCTTAAATAAAGCTGTGATGTAGCAAATGGAAGACATTTAATAACACATATATTACATAGGCAATTTAAAAAAAACAAAGTGAGCATCACAGTAATAAAACATGTAGCTTTTCAAATCCGTGATAAAAATTAAGTTTAACACTGTACATTTAATTACAGGGAAGCACTGTGGCTTGCTATTAAAACAACTTAACAATTCAAAATTAGCACTCTCAAATCAAACCCACTTTACCTCTGAAGTTGCCCCCAAATAATACCCCTGATTTCTGCAACTAAAAGACCCCTCCCCCCAGCCCTTACATCAAGTAGTCATCTACAGCACCCTAAGGGACCTGCTGATGTTTCCAGACTGCTGTCTGTATCAGAGGCCAGTGTTGGGTCAGTGGACATTGACGACACATCATTGACAGATGACGATGAAGATGGATGCCGAGAGCTACTGATCACTGCTGCACCTGTGCTATGAGAAATAGAACATCAATTCAGTTACAGAAAGAATAGCTAACTGCAGCATTTGCTCTAATTTATCTTCCGCTAGTTAGCTACCTTGAGCATCTGGAACTTAAGTTTTGTTCACATGAAGAACTAACTGAGAAAACAATAATTTGCTTCACTTATCAGCTGATGTGATTATCACCTTGTCTAAGATACCAAGAGAGACAAACATAAAGATGGGGAGGGGGGACAGTCACTATGATCTCCTTAATTTGTCATCCCCCCCCCTTCGTTTTTCGCCTCGTGGGCAACAACATGATCTAATATGGCATACATAGAGGCAGGAGATGGGCAGATTTCATGCTTTGCTGCAAGCGCTCAGCAAACAATGAAGATATCCTGATATTCAGCCCTCATGAAGACAAGGAGTACTCATTTGGAACAATAATGTTGTGTCCCTGTCAGAGGCATCTTCCAGCAAGGAATTAACCCAAACATTCTAGAACCCAGCAGGGAAGAAAAAAAATGCCCAGTCCCACAGAGTCTCGGCTCTCAGGAAGTTAGCAGCCAGAGCCTGAGGGTGACAAGAGCCGAGTAAAAGGTGGGACTTCCACGCAGTCCATAGAAACAGAGACAACTGAAGGACACAGCATAGTTTGAAGCCCCAAGATTATTATTTATTAGTTTTATTTATATGCCGCATTTCTCCCAACAAGGGACCCAAAGCGGCTGCAAGACGAAGAGACCAGCTGCAGGGAAGGACTCTTCAAGGCCCTCCTCAGGGGAACAGAGAACAGAGCCTCAGAAGCAGGCTTTTCCTCCCCAGGAGATCCCAGGGCCAAATTCTGCAGCATCGTTCTTTCCTCTGCTTCCCAAATGTCTGTAGGTGAGCAGGCCACCTTTACAAAAGCCCTCTCTTTGTATTGTAAGCCACTACAGATGTTCCTACGAGTTCCTGTACCTATTTTCTGCATGCCTGGACTTGTTCTACCTCCTGGACTGTTTGGATTACACCTTTGGCTCTACTTTGTGGATTGCGGTAGATGGCCTTCACCTCCGGACAATAGCTCTGGATTGCCCTGTCCTGGTTGTGTGCTCTGGTGTGCTCTTCAGTACCTGATCCCACTGCTTTGTCTTTCCCTGATTTAGGGCTTCTCTGTCTGGAAACTCTTGTGCGCTTTTGCCCAGCACAGAACAAGACAGATAAGACTGAGTCAATAAATTCTAAAATGATCTAGGGTAATCTACTCTCTAACTGGGCTAACAGTCTCTTCTAGTACTCTCGTTTCTATCTGTAGCAGACTATCGTGGAAGCCCCAAGCCTGTTGTTGATCTTACTCAAGTAAGATCCTTGATCTCGTAATAGAGAACTGAGAACAAATTCTCCTTCTCTTACAGAAACATGTTTTGTTTCCACATATGATAAACCCAAACAGGCTCCATTGACTTTTAAACAGATAGATAAAACTACCTGCTTTGTAACAGCCTTTCTAATAGTAGATATTCTTGTCCATCTGATTGTGTAGGACAACAATGAACTGGAAGTACCTAAGTGCCAAATACTAATACTACGGTGTCTTTTGTTCCCTAAACAAATTGCTACAATCATGGAAATAACTTATAACTAGCTATATGCATACTTTCACCATCAAATTAAGGAGATGTTTACATGCAGAATATCAGGCAGGATCATTGCCCGCGTTAGTCAGATTGAACAAATTTGTCTGTGTTTCACATAAATAGCAATAACTGAACATTTTTATTGCAACCAACCTAAAGGAGGCGGCTGTCCACGTATAACTCCGTTCTTGGTTCTTTCCTCCAGGTCCATAACTTCCTTGTAAATCAGCTCTGAAAATCATCAGGTGTAGTGTTACCTATGCAGTATTTCAAATAATCTAAAGAAGCAGTCTCATATGTTAACACTCATATTTTCCAGAAGATATACTTCTGACAAATCAGCACTCTTAGATTGGAGCACAGTAGACGAGTCAAATCACACAACTGTTCTGCTTGAAGCTAAAATTACTTAGTGTTTCCTTGATTCATCCTGCATATGCGGCCTTGGGGCAGAAGCCTTTGAAGTAAAGATGCAACACTAAAAAGACCTTCTCTCTCTCTCTCTCTCTCTCCCCCCCCCAAAAAAAGATGGGTATATATTTATCTCTGGAGTCTTTGTAATAAACACCACTACCTGCAATTAGTAACTGCCTAAGGTACTTTTTTCACAAAGCCTCAGAATCCTCTTCAAGACTGGCAGCTAATCTGCATAAAAAAGCATTCTGAAACCCACACACACTCAATATCTGTAAACTTTATTTGCACAATAAACAATCTCCTAATCTTAAAATTTGTGACTGCAAGTTTCCTCGACACTTGTTATCAGCACCCTATTCAGTGGTACTCAGTTTCCTTCTGCAACCGTCACTCTGGCTTTACTGTAGAGAAGTACTAATACAATCACTAATCTGGTAGGAGAGGTTGTCCAGAGTTTGAGAGTTTTGTCCCACAGATGTGCTGACCCAACTCTGTTTCAATTTTAAACTAGCTTCTGGTTTTAATAATGGACCGGATCAAGGAGATTGAACCTTAATCACAATGTTACTTCAAACTATTTGAAAACGCAGATCAGGACTGGGATTTGACATGCAATTATCTTCCCTGAAAATTGTTTTGCACTCTGGGTGTAACATCTGGATTCAACCCTAAGCATAGGTTTCTGCACTAAATGGAAATGTGTTTGCATATTTGAAACTAGTGCATCAGCTACACACATTCCTCGAGGTGAGCAAGGTGACATAAATTTTAGCAATATATCATTTGGATTATTGTAATGTTCTTCAAGTGCGGCTGTATTTGAAGTGTTTGGAAACTCAAACTAGTCCAGATGGGCAACAACACTGCTGCCTGGAACAGTTGGCACACAACCCCCTTGTTGCAATATCTTTACGAACCACCAACCCACTTCCAAAAATAAATGAAAGTGCCCGTTATGACCTATAAACTCTATAAAACATTTGCTCAAATAATCTGAAGGTTTCTATTCCACTATGTGAGTCTACCTCAGGTTTAAGGTCTTCAGGCTAGACCTTCTTTTGCACTTATCATTCTCTTAGTCATGCTGGTGAGAACATGAGCACCTTCTCAACGGCTGCTCCCAGATCATTTGCATGTGGGAAATGGATGCTGGATTTCATTTACATTTATTCAGATTAGCTTTTGCTATACAATATTTAAAAAGTGTTAATTATATTAAAATTAGTAATGTATAATAAGAACAATAAAATTTGTAATAAGAACAATATTAAAGACACAAGTAAAACATAGAATAAAATGATCCCTTTCAAAAAAAAAAGCCCTTGATCAACCAAGGGTTGTCTGGGAACAGCAACAGAGAAGGCTCTCTCCTGTGGACATAATGGACTTCAAAAGCATCTTTGAGGGTGTTGGGACCAAGAAAAAGACCTCTCCTGGTTAATACTGAGGTAGGCTCATAAAGGGAGATACGGTCTTTTAGATAGCTTGGAATCAAGCTACTTAGGTCATTAAAATAAAGCAGTTAGTATTTAAGATGCCATAACATTTTGGTCTCTTGTTTCGTTGACAGAAAGGTCAAAACTATGCCACTGTTTCTCTGAGATCTGAAAGGATCTGCCATAGGAGGAAAGTAACAACACATCCTGAGACATATGAAAGAAGAAAACTTAGAAAGAAAAAAATGAGATGGGAAGTAACCTGGATCCCCTCACAAAAGGTATAGAGATCTTTGTGGACAGACAGTGCAGAAAACCCCTGACACCCTTCCTGCTGAGGTGACAGTGACTAGAAAGATCACCCTGAATGAAAGCAGAGGAAGAGGGCCTTCTCATCTGGGTTCCTGCAGAGGCTTGTTAAGGATCTTTAGGACAAAGCTGGGCTAGGGGAGACTGTTCAAGCGAAGAAAGATGAGCAATAGCTCAGAGAAGACATATGAGGTATGGATGTGCAAACATCAGTGGATGGCATGGCCCTGATAGCACTGAGGATAAGTCAGTTTCCTGATACTTGAGTGTGTTAAGATAAAGCCCTTTCTCAAGTTCTGGCCAGAAGAGGTAAAGGAGGTGAAACAAAGACACATACAAAAAAAATAAATGCACTTGGATTTATAAAATTACATGAAAACCTTTCATGTAGCCTCTAATTTTTTTTGTTACTCAATGCCTTAATGAAAGAAACATGGAAATTATTTCATCCAAATAACCTAAACTCTTCTGGCCCGCCTCTCAGCCTCCACATACCTAGGTAGAGCCATACCACATCTGGGTAGAATACAAGAACTTGAGATGAGAGATCCAGATGTACGGAAGGTACTGGGAAGGACTCGTAACTTGTTTTTCAGTCTCCAGCTCTGCAGCCAAATACAGTGGTGCCTCGCAAGACGATTGCCTCGCAGGACGATTAATCCGCAAGACAATTAGTTTTTGCGATCGCTGTTGCACTTCGCAAGATGATGTTTTCTATGGACGATTTTCGTAAGACGATGTTTTTTCCCGCTGGAACACACTGAATAGATTTCAATGCATTCCAATGGGGAACTGCATTCCGCAAGACAATGTTTTCTATGGACGATTTTCGCAAGACAATGTTATTTCCCGTTGGAACGCATTAAATAGATTTCAATGCATTCCAATGGGGAACAGCGTTTCGCAAGATGATGTTTTCGCAAGACAGTGATTTTCGTGGAACGAATTAACATCGTCTTGCGAGCCACCACTGTACCCAAACCACTGAGCTGTCCAGCAGTTCTACCTATAGTAGGGGGATCTAGTGACCTTCAAGCTGTTGTCAGTCTAGGTGATCAGACTGGGACTTAAAACACAGAATGACAACTTCACTTCTTGGACTTTATATGTTCATTCCATTGAAGAGACAACTTTACCTCTTGGATGCACCATTCTGCCATTTGCAGCTATCTAGGTCCAAATCTGGAGTAACTACAGTGGCTAAATAGGAAGTATGTTACTGATGTGGCACAAAACTCCTGCATTTCCCAGCAACTTTCTCAACTTTCAGCATTGAAGGACTGAAAAAAAGCCTCTAACATATGTCAAATTTAGGAAATTGCTGGAGTTGCCTGTTACCCCAATATAGTTAGCAAGGACACATATAGAACTCTATTTAGCATTTAAAAATAATGAAACAAAAGCTTTACCAATATATCATATTATACTTTCGTCCAAAATGAAAATATTCTTCTCACCTTTCCATTCTTCTATCGTGTGCTCCCTTTCATCTAGTTGTTTGTCTGGTATCTTTGGAGGAGGCTAGTAACAGAATGAAGTGGATAAATTTTAGGACAAGACAGTAGATATCACTCTAAATATAAATGTGCACTCTCAATTCAGTACTGGAGTAAAACTATTAAAGCAGTTCAGCCAGAAAAATCTCTCAGCACCTTTCACCATTCAGAACTCTTCTCAGGAAATTACTGGGAGGCAACCTTTCATTTCTTAGCTACAATACTAATATGTTTCTCACTTCTTTTCTGGGATACTACACAAACGCTGGCTGAGTAACCTTATGAACCAGAAAAGATGTTTGGAATCTGAGTGCCTGACCCCATGTTGATTATAAAACATGAACTGGACACCACCACTGAAAGGACAAGGGTGGCTGATTCTAGGGTTCGGGTTCCAGATTCTTAGGCTTGCCGTATCAGAAAGCAGACAGACAGGAGACTGTAACAAAAAGAAGCAATAAGGATAATTCTTTTAAAAAATTAGTAATTCCAGTAATTAGACTGCTACATTGCAAACAAAAATAAGGGAGGTGCTCCTTGCAAATAGCAAAGGAATCTCCCAAAAACCAGTATCAGCAACACATTATCGAAGCACTCAGTGTTACTTTCTTCATGGTTATTTACAAATTTTGTGAGCCCATTTTCTTCCTCTGTTGATGCTTTGGCAGCCAATTCTTGTCTCCCTTTCATTCAGTCTCAAGTGATATTGGTCATTAAGAGGTGACATGGCAGGATCACAACAGAATTCTATGAAACCAATCAGATTTAGCTATATCCAGGCACCAAAGACAATAGAAACAATCAGTGCAGGAATCATTTTGAGCCTTCTGCATCTGTACATCACCACATATTGGATTTACAGAAGACCTTTGTAAAGCATTTTAGATCAGTATTTGAAAAAGCCCAGCTTTGCTAAAATGCTAACTCTGAATCTTCTGAAATGCCAAACTAAGAATGCATAATAAACTGCTGGTTAGAGAGCAGAAAAACAGCCTTACTAAGTTACTCTCTGGCACTTGAAATCATGACCGAACATCTTCACGGCACAGAATCCAGAATATAGAAACTTACTGCTTCTGCTTCCGAAGGGTCATACCAGACATTGATGTATGGGTGCTGCAAAGCTTCATCTACTGAGATTCTTTTTGATGCATCTATCACCAGCATTTTGGATAACAAATCTCTTGCCTGACTGGCTACAAGAGTAACATTTAAGAGAGAATTAAATATGTAAACATTTGAGACAACAGTGTACAGGGCTGTGGGTCAAGGCATTATACAAAACAAGACCAAGCTACTTGGTTACATAGCTTATTTGAAAAATACAGCCAAACCACTTGTTTATTAAATACCTTTTAAATATTACTGTCGAGAGCAACAGTTCTGAAGGTATGGGGATGAGTCAGATGGCCCTGGTAACTGAGAATAGTATAAGACTGTTGTACTCTGGAGCTGTTGCAGAAGGGAGGAGAGCCCCCCCCCCGCTCCAAACATTTATTTTGTTCTGCACTTGCCAGATAAAAGGACAGAGCCGGAACTAGTCTCACTCTTCCTTCTCTAGCTACCAGAAAGGCTTCTCTTTTTCATTTTAATGTCTGCTACTAAACATTCAGCAAGCACAGAACAAGAGAGAACCATTTTTTCTCCTCCAACACAAAAGCTCAGGAGGTAGCAGAGTCTTGTATTCATACAGTGGGGTCTCGACTTACGAACGGCTCGACATACGAGCATTTCGACTTACGAACCGCTCTCATAGGAATATATGGACTCGACTTACGAACTTAGATTCGAGTTACGAACTCTTTTTTTCCTTTTTTTAAAAAGCTAAGTCATCTTAGGTTAAAAGGAAAAAAGAAAAAATATCCCCCTCTAGTGGCAGAAGGCAGAATAGCAGCTTCCCATTAGTTTCTATGGACAAAAAGAGCAGATACGGATTAAATGGTTTTCAATGCATTCCTATGGGAAATGCAGATTCGACTTAAGAACTTTTTGACCTGAGAACTGCCTTCCAATACGGATTAAGTTCGTAAGTCGAGACCCCACTGTATTGGCAGAATCCCACCCACCCTACCCCCAACCTGGCTACAACTCTAAGCTTGGAACCAGCAAAGAGTACAAAGCTGACCTGGAGCTCACCCTACATCCTGGCTGGACAGCATGAGGTCAGAGATAAGAACATACTATGAGGGAGGGGGCACAGTCTCGATGGCCTCAAACGTTCCGATTCACCGCCAAGGCTATTGCACTTATGAGACTCCACAAAAGGGTAGGAGTGTGCATTGTTAGTGACACAGATCAGAAGGAAGAAGACAGACTTGCTCATCAGTCCAATAGGTTGTCATAGGGCTAAGAGGGTGAAATGAAAGAGGGCAAACACATGGGTGCCACAACCTAACATGGAAATATTTATATTAATTATGCTTGTTTATGTACTTAATAACAGGGGACGTGGTGGCGCTGCGGGTTAAACCGCAGAAGCCTCTGTGTGCTGCAGGGTCAGAAGAACAGCCATCGCAAGATCAAATCCACGAGATGGAGTGAGCTCCCGTCGCTTGTCCCAGCTCCTGCCAACCTAGCAGTTCGAAAGCATGTAAATGCAAGCACTTTTCATGGCAGAGTTTTACTTTTCATGGCAGAGTTTCTAAATTTACCGGGGGCGGGGGGGAATCAATCAAATCTTACCTTTGAGTTTATTGTGCTCAGAGTCAACTGGAAAAAGGACATCTGGGAAAAGCTTCTCAAAACTATAGCCAGCATATTTAGGCCTGTTTTCCACATATGTTCTCACTGTTGGTTGTAGTTTCTTCATGAATTCAGGACATGGTGTCCCTAACTGTTCAATAACTTTATTCCACTGATCAATATCTGAGATCAAGGAACTAAGAAAAATTGCATATCTAATAATATATTGAAAATCACATCAAATAATAGGTTAGTTATGATCAACAATAATTCTTTAGTAGAAAATGATGAGTCCAATAGATGTTTTCCTCCTCAGCTATTTTCATTTTTAATGGTCGATCACCTCACATAGGACAAGTTGGGAGGAATTCCATTGTGGCTATCTTAAGAATTTTAAGGCTCAACTTAAACATGGGCTTGCAGTATTGCACAGAAGAGCAAATTATCCAAATGCATTCTTCTATCAATGATATTAAGAAGGAAGGTGTATTTGCCAAAACTCCACATATACTCAACAAGACTAAACTGGGGGAAGTATTTTATCAGAATTGTTAGAAAATAAAAGTACTTTTGCTTGAGGTGTCAGCATAAAACCAGAAGTGAAAGACAAGTAAACTCTAATTTAAAGCTAAAGCTTCAGTTGTTAGTACTGAAGACTAGCCTTTCATCTTAAACATGGCATTCTCTTTATCGTATTTCTATAGCATTTAAACAGATACAGATCTGACCTTTATAAAGAATGCACTGCTTTCTCATTCAAAATATAATCTATTACTACTTTCTAATCCTTTTGGAAACAAGACTCCAAAAAAGCATGTCCCATCTTCTACTGAGAATACAGGAGAAAAATGGTCTTGTATGTGAAAGAGAATTTGCTGGAGTGTCAGCCATGGTTTTCAATGGTTCTCAAAGATTTCAGTGGTTCTCCAAATTTATTTTGAAGAAGAGGCACTTACAAAAGCACCAGAATAACTGGGCCCATCCATGAGACGGCTGCTATTATGGTTTGCCATCCACTTTGACCTCAAATAATTATGTGCACACAAAGCTCTTACTATAGGGAATTCTAAATGCTCTTGGAAGAGAGCCAACATGTACAAGTGATACATCTAAACATGCCCTGATCCCTTTTGTCACCGAAAAAAATAAATACAATTTTAAAATAGCAGATTCATCCACTGTCCAAACATTTATGTAAATAGTTCTCATTCCAGAGAAAAGTCTTATCATTCTAGTTCAGTCAAAATAACAGAACAGACACAGAAACAAACACAAAATAAACCAGCATTCCTGCCTTCGGGGGAGTCTTCATCATCTGCATCCCTCAGGGACTGAGTGAGAGACAGTGTGGCTGTGCTCTTGGGGGGGGGGGAGAGGGGGCTTTAGAAGGGGTTTTTGTTGTGATTATTAATTGCAATGAGGTTAATTACAA